AACTATTTTAATTTTTATTGTGATATTAATAGTAATTTATTTATTGCATTTAAATTACTTGTATTAATGATTTATTTTGCATTTGTTATATTTTGTTTATAGTGGATTGCTGTGGTTCTCGTTGCACGGAGGCTGTTGAATCCACCCAACCGCTGCAACGGCCAAATCCATTTGACCCCCAAAGACGAGTTCAGGAGGAGGGTATTACTGATGTGGTTCTGGAGACTCCAGCTTCAGATGCTGATATACAGGCTGAGTCTCTTAGTGATGAGGATACACCTGTGGCTACTCCTTAGCAAAGACAGGGACGGGGGCAAGCTAAGCCGGTGTAGATGCCTACAGATGGGACGAAGATCCCATTAGAGCTAGATGAGTATGGAGGTTTGCCTCAACAGGTCAAACGACAGATTGTGGTCCAGTTGCGGGAGAATCTCCCAGATGCTTACACATCATGGGGACAGGTCCGTCGTGAGTATCGAGACATGTATTGGAATATATTTAGTGTACGCCCTAAACACTTAATTTTTATCTACAAATTAGATATTTTCAATTTTCATCTTTCAATTTTAAGTAATTTGAATTTGCTTTGTTATTAAATTATTTATTTATTTATATTTCTATTATTTTCAGCAAACATATGAATGAGATCCTACGATTGATAAGATTGTAGAGGATTTATGGAGGATGACAGCAAAGATCAAGTTCAAGCATGCACTTAGTGAGTTGAAAGCTAAGTGTGCAAGGAGAAACTTTCAAGTTAAGCCTTTAAAGTTATGGGCGAGGTTTGTTTATTTATGGATTGAGGTAATGGAGTAAATTCATGTGTTTATCATTATTTATTTTTTAATTTTCAATTACAATGTTTAATGTTTTTATCATACTATTAATTAAGAAAATATATGTGTTCACCACTTTTACAGGACGAGGGTCATTTGAAAAAGTCAAGTTCTGCAAAGGCTAATCGAGCAAATGGACTGAGGGTGACGTATACTAGCGGTTCAATGGACGTTAATGTTTATAGAAAGAAAATGGTATAAAAATTAATATATTTTTAATAAATAATTAATGAATTATGATTTATAATTTATTTTATATTGATTTTAATATTTTCTCTTCTTTTTTTTTTCTTTACAGCAACAAGCAAACCCCGAGGGTCATCTACTGACGTTTCCTGAGATCTACACCAGTAGAAGGCAGCACAAAGGAAAAGGAAAAGACCAGCTACCTGTATATTGTAATGATGAGGCTCAAGAAATTGGAGTAAGTATTTAATTTAATAATTTTACTTTAAATTGTGTCATAAATTAATTGAAATTATTTTGGTTATAATATTGAAATTCTTGTACAATATAGTTATTGGTAAAAAGTTAGAACTCCATCCTTTCAGGAGAGAGGAAATTGAATTTAGGTGCCTAAAGTGATATTTTAAATTACACTTTAATTTTCAATACAATTAATTATTTATTTTGTCTTATATTATTTTAGGAAAAATTGACAGCTGAATATGCTGCTAGGCAAGAGGAAGAAGGATTTGACCCTACAATAACTCATGGTGAGTTATTACTTAGGGCGACTGGTGGGATTAAGAAAGGATGGCTGAAAGGTTTGGATATTCACACACATCCACAGGATATAGGTGTGAGCACATCCAGATGAGAACCATTTATGCCACCTATCATAGGACAGTCTAATAGGGTTATCGAATTAGAGCAGATTATTGAATCATTGAAGGCAGATAATAGTAGCCTTCGATAATCACAGATGACCCTTATAGCAAATAATGAGAGCCTACGACAACAACAGACGACCCTTGCTGCACAGATGCAACAACTCTGCTAGCATTTAGGGATGACCCCAACGGATACCAGTGGGACAGTTACCGCTAGGACACCCCGAGATATTTAGGTTTTTATATTTAAATTAAATATTTGTATTTACTTTATATTTGTAGTAGACATTGGAGACTAATATATTTAGAGTAAATTAACAAAATTTTCTAGCATTTTATATGATAAATATAATAAATTATGTCAAAATAATTTTACATTATCAAATATATTAATTTAAATATCAATTAAATTTTTTATATGTAAAAAATATCGAATTAAATGAGATACTTATACAAAGATTGGTTTCAATTACTATACCAACTGTAATAAAAAGATAAATGGCTGGTACAAAAAATACTATACGAACCGATCCCGGTCTGTATATATTAAAGCCGACTGCAAAATACCCGCAGCCAGCTTAGTAAAAAAAACAGAATGTCGAAGCAGTTCAGCACCAGCCGGCTTTCATTCCTCAGTCGGCTCAACTTATTCAAACAATTGTATACGGACTGATCCCAGTCCATATATAACCTGCAAAAAATTAAGGCCTGTTAAGCCAGCTACAAAAGTTTTATAACCGACTCAATCCAAAAAAATAGAAGGTTAAATGCTAAATTTGGTCCCTCAACTTTAGTGAGTTGCACATTTTTGGTCCCTCAACAATTTTTTGCACTTTTTTGATCCCTCAACTCTAAGAAATGCACTCCGTTAGTCTTTCTGTCAATTTAGACCGTTTAACACGACATATGACATTTTTTTATAATTTTTTTGATGACATGGCAAAAACAATTTAAAAAAGCGCTAATTTGGAATTTTTTTTTTAAGGCACGTCATCGCCAACTCATCCAACTCATTGCCAACTCATAAACCGATTTTACCTTAATAAAAAAATAAAAAATTACAAATTTACCCATCTCCCTTCCTTGATCCAGCTTCTTCCCCTCTTTTGATCATCTTCTTCCTTTCTTTTTTTTAATTTTCTTTCTTCCTCTTCTTTCTTCCTCTTCTTCCTCTATGTCTACTGGGTTCGGTGGAACCCAGTTTGCTGGGTTCCGTGAACCCACCGAACCTAGCTCCACTTTTTTGTTTTTTTTTTTTTTGTTATATGTTTGTTTGTCCAAGTTGCAGGGTTCAAAATGGAAAGAACATAAGCAGTTGGGTAAAGAAGCAATTCTTAGTGG